CCCCAGACCACACCCCCCAGACCACACCCCCCAGACCACACCCCCCAGACCACACACCCCAGACCACACCCCCCAGACCACACACCCCAGACCACACCCCCCAGACCACACCCTCCAGACCACACCCCCCAGACCACACTCCCCAGACCACACCCCCCAGACCACACACCCCAGACCACACCCCCCAGACCACACACCCCAGACCACACCCCCCAGACCACACACCCCAGACCACGCCCCCAGACCACGCCCCCAGACCACACCCTCCTCGGCCACATCCACCAACCAGCCACACCCCCCAGACCACACACCCCAGACCACACCCCCCAGACCACGCCCCCAGACCATACCCTCCTCGGCCACGCCCACCAACCAGCCACACCCCCCAGACCACACCCCCTAGACCACACCCCCCAGACCACACCTCCCAGACCACACACCCCAGACCACGCCCCCCAGACCAAGCCCTCCTCGGCCACGCCCACCAACCAGCCACACCCCCCAGACCACACCCCCCAGACCACACCCCCCAGACCCCACCTCCCAGACCACACGCCCCAGACCACGCCCCCAGATCACACCCTCCTCGGCCACGCCCACCAACCAGCCACACCCTTCATGTTGTCCCGAGCGCTTGACGTCAGAGGCCCGTGACGTCCCTGTGGCGGGGCGGCATAAGGGTGCATCTCCTCCTTCAGTTACCGGACCACAGGACCAGACCCAAAATGAAATGTTACTGGATCTGAGACGTGGGTGTGGGGGGGGGGGAGTGGGGGGGGGGTCTTGGTGGGTCTTGGGGGGTGTTGCCCCCTTACTCCCTCTTTACCAAACTATCGTACACAGACAAACACAACAATTAACACAAATTCATAAAAGTTTCGAAAATATGATTATTAAATAATATCAATACAAGATTTCAATGATAATTTGTATTAGTCAGTATGGCAACCCGTCCTCACACTAGGGTGGTTAAAGCAGCGGCCGGCCTCCCTAGACAACCCGTCCTCACACTAGGGTGGTTAAAGCAGCGGCCGGCCTCCCCAGACAACCCGTCCTCACACTAGGCTGGTTAAAGCAGCGGCCGGCCTCCCCAGACAACCCGTCCTCACACTAGGCTGGTTAAAGCAGCGGCCGGCCTCCCCAGACGCAGTCATCAAGTTTAACATACTGTGTATTAAACATTTGTTTGTTCTCATATATAAATTAATATTATTATACATTACAAAACTATGTATAGTTAGGCGAAGGTTAGGTTAGTTGTTAAGGTTGTGTTGGCGATGATTTGTATGCAGGTCGGCGTTCAATCCCCGACCGTCAAAGTGATTGGGCACCATTACTTCCCCGTTCTTGGCAAATTTAGAATTTGTGGGGCGGATTTGGATTTTTTTCGCGGATTTGGATTTTTCTGGTTGCGGATTTGATGCACCATACCGGGTCATGCCTCAGCTCTGGGGCCCCGCCTTCCTGCCTTACCCTGAGCCTGTGTGTGTGAAAAACTCCTACTGCTCTGGAGAGAGAGAGAGAGAGAGAGAGAGAGAGAGAGAGAGAGAGAGAGAGAGAGAGAGAGAGAGAGAGAGAGAGAGAGAGAGAGAGAGAGAGAGAGAGAGAGAGAGAGAGAGAGAGAGAGTGAGAGAGAGAGAGAGAGAGAGAGAGAGAGAGAGTGAGAGAGAGAGAGAAAGTGAAAGAGAGAGAGTGAGAGAGAGAGAGAGAGAGAGAGAGAGAGAGAGAGAGAGAGAGAGAGAGAGAGAGAGAGAGAGAGAGAGAGAGAGAGAGAGAGAGAGAGAGAGAGAGAGAGAGAGAGAGAGTGAGAGAGAGAGAGAGAGAGAGAGAGAGAGAGAGAGAGAGAGAGAGAGAGAGAGAGAGAGAGAGAGAGAGAGAGAGAGAGAGAGAGAGCCCTCCCCTCTACCCGCTCCGGGTGTTTTCCTGGCCGTCCACCTCAGAGTAAATTGCCTGCGGCTTGTCACTGTCCTCGCGCCCATCCCAGCCCACTAAGCTGCTCCAGGTAGGCATTAGAGATTCTCAAGTGGGCATTAGCAGTGTGGGAGCGAGCCTCTCTCAGTGCCTGGATGGCTAATTCCCCCCCGTATACTGCAGTCACTCATTTGATTTAATTGCAAGTGTGTGTGTTTTGGTCCAGTGATAGTGGTGGTGGGCGGCCTGGGGCTGTGGTGGGCGGCCTGGTGCTGTGGTGGGCGGCCTGGTGCTGTGGTGGGCGGCCTGGTGCTGTGGTGGGCGGCCTGGTGCTGTGGTGGGCGGCCTGGTGCTGTGGTGGGCGGCCTGGTGCTGTGGTGGGCGGCCTGGTGCTGTGGTGGGCGGCCTGGTGCTGTGGTGGACGGCCTGGCGCTGTGGTGGGCGGCCTGGTGCTGTGGTGGTGGCCTGGTGCTGTGGTGGTGGCCTGGTGCTGTGGTGGTGGCCTGGTGCTGTGGTGGTGGCCTGGTGCTGTGGTGGTGGCCTGGTGCTGTGGTGTGGTGCTGTGGTGGTGGCCTGGTGCTGTGGTGGTGGCCTGGTGCTGTGGTGGTGGCCTGGTGCTGTGGTGGTGGCCTGGTGCTGTGGTGGGCGGCCTGGTGCTGTGGTGGGCGGCCTGGTGCTGTGGTGGGCGGCCTGGTGCTGTGGTGGGCGGCCTGGTGCTGTGGTGGGCGGCCTGGTGCTGTGGTGGGCGGCCTGGTGCTGTGGTGGGCGGCCTGGGGCTGTGGTGGGCGGCCTGGTGCTGTGGTGGCGGCCTGGTGCTGTGGTGGGCGGCCTGGGGCTGTGGTAGGCGGCCTGGTGCTGTGGTGGGCGGCCTGGTGCTGTGGTGGACGGCCTGGGGCTGTGGTGGGCGGCCTGGGGCTGTGGTGGGCGGCCTGGTGCTGTGGTGGGCGGCCTGGTGCGGTGGTGGGCGGCCTGGTGCTGTGGTGGGCGGCCTGGGGCTGTGGTGGGCGGCCTGGTGCTGTGGTGGGCGGCCTGGGGCTGTGGTGGGCGGCCTGGGGCTGTTGTGGGCGGCCTGGTGCTGTGGTGGGCGGCCTGGTGCTGTGGTGGGCGGCCTGGGGCTGTGGTGGGCGGCCTGGTGCTGTGGTGGGCGGCCTGGGGCTGTGGTGGGCGGCCTGGTGCTGTGGTGGGCGGCCTGGTGCTGTGGTGGGCGGCCTGGTGCTGTGGTGGGTGGCCTGGGGCAGCGCAGGCCGAACCACTATCCCTAGACTCGAACCTAGGGATAGGGGTTCGATCCCAGGCACCGCCGGAAAAACAATGAGCGGAGTTTC